CAATTTTTTGGTGGTATAAAGATATAACTTGTTATTTAAAGTTTATTTAATGAAAGCTAGTATCACTACCTTGGATCATTTTGCAGACAGAAAAAATATACATAATAATTATATATGCAGGCATTAGTTCAGTGTATCTCAGTAAGCAGCTTTCACAGGAGAGATTTCATTTCTGTAGCTGTCCATCTACAGCGATTGGCTATAGTAGAGTGTCAGCTTTTCTGAAACTGCAGTGTAGAAAAGAGATTCTTTCCTCACACATCGAACATGGCCAGTGTGACCACTCTTGGTACCTGCCATTTTCCATCTTGTCTAGACCCAGATGTCCGTTGCAGTTACAGGCACTGAGACTCCGATAAAAGATGCTTGTGCAGTTTCACCATAGCTCCAGGAAGGTGGTGACCACTGTTGTGTTCCCTAAAGCTTTCAACACAAGCTTTAGATGTCATCGTTAGGGATAATCCTGGTGTTTGTAATGATCATGGGGCAATTTCTAGAAAAAGTTATTGAATCAAGAACAGCTCATCTGTACTGTACAGGAATCTTTAAAATTACCTGTAAAACCATCTCTGTGCAAGTTCTCAAAATTAATGTGTTTTTTTTACAATTCCTAAAATACTTGGTCTTTTACTAAATTACTATTCAATTAATAATAGGCCCTAAACTTCCCAAACCTCCAATCTCTTGAAAGACTTAATATTATGAGAACAGGGGCTAGGGATTTAGCTCAGCGGCATAAGCACCTGCCTTGCAAGCAGGCGATCGTGAGTTCGATCCCTGGTACCGATAAAAATGAAAAAGACAAAAAAAAAATAATAATAATTATGAGAACAGGTGCTTACCCAGGTGCATATTCCTGTAATTCCAGCTCCATGGGAGGCTGAGGCAGGAGGATTGCAAATTTGAGCCCAGCTTGGGCAATTGAGTGGTGTAGTGCTATTGTGTTCTAAAATAACAAATATAAAAAGGTTTAGGGATGTAGCTCAGTGAGAAGGCCATGGGTTCCATTCCCAGTACTGGAAAGGAGAAAACCCACAAGTGTTTAAATGTAGTAGGATGCCTATGATATATAGGAGTTCTTTATTGAATAATTTTGAAAGTGACCTTTTTGATAACAGAAATACTCTCTTTTGTCTGTTCTGTACTGTGACGCCTGGGTAAGCATATTTCACAGGGAAGGCACAGATTCTCAGGTTCCTAAGCATTCAGTTTAAAAATAAGCAGAATTAGACAAGTAGCCTTTATTGGCCCTTCATGGTTTGGGGGAAGAATGAGGAGAGGGAATGCAAATTGGTTTAGATTTGCTAGCTGCTCTTGTAGGACCACCCTCAAAAACTTTCTATTATGGTTAGTAAAATTTACATTTTAACCCTTGCCCACCACTATTTTCAGCCTCGTCTCTTTTCAGAACTTTCAGCTGCGCACACACACACGTGCACACACACGCAGCGTTTGCTACCCTTTCCATAGATACTACCGGGAACCTCAGAATTTCAGCACTTCACTTGTGTTCAGCTGGCCGCTTTAATGGGTTGCATCTACAAACCTGTGAGAGCAGGATGGTTTTTTTTTCACTATTAAAACAGTAATGTAACCACATCACGGGATTTTTAGTCACATCATTGACCTCCACCGGCAGTTTTTCCCTCTACAACACTTGAATGCATTAATATCAGTGTCTATAGCATTTTAGTTTAATTAGAGCAGTGTTTATAATCCTCTTGGGAAAACCCTAGCCCTCCCCCACGTTAGCATAAAACCCCTCTGGTTTTCATCTGTCTGACAGTTTGCTTTAGAGGTGAGTATGAGCTGTCAGTTGGTTCTCTAGCCCAGCCTGCCTCTTTGTTGGGGTCAGACTAGACAAGCAGTTATGAGAATAGATATGTCCCCTTTATCTGGAATATTGGGTGTTAATCTCCTTAAGTTCTTCTATCTGGAAATATTTGATTTTTCAAATTGCTGATGACGTGCTGACTTAGGACTGTAAATATAAAATGCATGGTTATACACCAATAAAATAAAAATATAAAGACCATGGAAATCACTCTAGAGCAGAGACAAGTATCCAAACTGCAACCCAAAACCCACTTCTTTATTGCAAAGTGCCAATATTGCAGTTAAACTTAAATACTGAGGTTTTAGTTTAGGAAAGACAACTCATCAATTAACATCTTTGGCGTTAAAAACACAGTAACACACATGCCATAGGTTTACCACCACTGCCCTAGAGTCGCAAACAGAGAGATACAAGGAGTTAAGTCTGTGGTGTGGGATTGCCAGCTGTGTGTCTCCTCCTCAGAAAGGCACCAGTGTACTGGGTAGTGTCCTTTCAAGAGTCCACCAAGTGGCCTGCTGCTTGCTGAACCCAGAGTTCTGAGGCGATGTGTTGGCTGCTGGCAGATTGCTAGAAGCCCTAGAAGCACATTTTGATTTTCTCCCTTATGGGCAAAGTAACTGTCTTCTGATTCAGACAGATCTCTTCACTGACATTTCAACTGAGTTTCTGGTCCTAACCTTCCCCTGAGTGGAAGCCATCATCAGGAATGAGAGGAGCTCAGGCACCCTTTAACCCAGTCTCCGGCCTGCCTTTTGCCATGAGATAGGACAGTTGTCTCCATCTAAAATTTTTTAGATGGGGTCTGGAGTGGTGGAGATGCATGAATCACAGAGGCATGAATTACATGTTTCAGTGTAATCATGAGGATAGGGAACTGTGGAGAAGTGAACAAATACGTGGAACCTCCTGTGACATGAAGACACATTGCAGTGGTAAAGTGGCACATCACACAACCTGTAAAGGAGCTGCCTCACTGGGCTCTTGTCCCTTGGTTGGAGAGCTTTGAGGACTGGGTTTCTCCAGCTTGTTATTGATGGAGTTGGAGGGGCTAGAATGAGGTGGCCCCTTTCTTTTGTGGATAAGCTAGAGGATCTTGTGAGTTTCCCCTTGCATTAAGGAGAAAGCCACAGTGTTATGAAATACTGTCTTTTTGTCTCCCACTCTTGCCTTGTCATTTGAAGACTCCGGCTGTACAATGTTTTCTTCATCAATAGTTTCATTTCTGCAAAACCCATAACAAAACAGAAAGCTATTTCTGGGAATAAAGTTAACTGTAGATAATTAGACATATGATGGAATTATGGGGTCATGTGAGCATTGAAAAGTATGAGAATTTATTAGAAAAACAGGCTATGTTTGCAAAGTTTAAAAGTCCATCTCACCTAGAAAAAAAACATTCAACAGATTTATTATATACCTTTGCCTCGTTCACTTCAGCCTCAAAACAAACACCAAAAAGTCTAACTCATCCCTAAATTTGAACTTTAAAATATGTGTGATGTTTGGTAAAGCTCAGGAAAAGTGAAGTTGAAGGTTTTGCCTCTGGGTGATCTTTCACAGGATATCTTGATTGATATAAAGAAGTCAAATTTAGGATTTATGGGCCTGCCCTTAATTAGGAAGTTGACCGGGAAGATTTTAAGTTGTGTGTTTAAACAGAAATAGGCCAACCACCCTACACGCTGCTAGTGGATGCCTTAGGGAAGGTATAAGCGATTCCATCCGGAAATTACAGTAATATGTATGTATTCACTTAAAATTGAGACTTCCTACCACACCCACCAAAGTTTCCAGGCTATGAGTAGAGGTTTTAATTTAGTTAGATGACTGGGGACTCCCCTAATTCTCTTTGCACATTTGATGAGAAATAAAATGTTAAAGAATTAATTATCTTTCCAAAAAGTAAATACCCCTTTCACTTTAACCCGTGATTTTCTTTTGCTCTTGCTTTTTATTTTCGTAGTGGCAGCTTACTGGTCTTTTCTTAGCTTATTTTTGGACCTGACGTGTCCCACTTTACACTGCCCAGTAAAACCACAGAAATGAACGGAAGTTATGTTTATGCATGGACTGCAGGTCAAGTACATCTGAGATACAGATTGCTTGCCATCCTAGGTGTACAAAATTGTTTCTTGCTATTATTTGCAGGATTTTAACTTAAAACTAACACTAATCTTTCCTAATCCATCCAATTTGCTTCAGTTCATTGATCAAATATTTCTGCTTGCTTGGATGCAAGGGTTAGGTCTCCTGAAGCTCTTCCCCATCAGCCGATAAATATCATCAGTTAAACGCTTCTTCCCTTAAGTTGAAATAATTCTTTTAATGGTCTCCAAAATCTTCAGAGAGAAAAGGAAATACTGATTTTGATACAAGGAATGAAGGAACGAGGAGATACTTGTTAATGTTGTAGATAATCCCGTAGGAAGGAAAAATTTAAATGTTGTATATTTTTGGTTGTAGTTATTATATAGTGAGATAGATAGAATAGAAAAATCTTGCTCATACATTTAATAACTAAATCGAGATCTTATCTTTGGAGCCATCACTTTCAACTTGGCCTGTTTAGCTCCCTCTTATTGAATCTGAGTATAGAATCATACTTGAATTAGAAGCTGGGGATATTGCCAGAAAAAAGGAAATATAGTTTTAATGTATTGATGCCATTAACTATGTGACTTGGAAAAAATAGTTTTTGAGAGAATTGCTTTAAAGCTATTCTCTTGGGTCTCTTTTTTCATTTCCTCACCTCTGCCTTTTCTGATTTCTAAAACAAACCACAGGGGAACACACCTGTTGACCTGAGGTCCATTTTACACCTTTCCTGCATATTAAAGATAAATCCCAAATGCTAGGCACCTGCGAGACTACTGTGCACAGTCTCCTGAGGTTGCTCCCTCCACACGGGTGTTCCAAATGCCCCATCTTCCTTTTGTTCCCCATCCCCCTGGATAGTTTCACACCTCCATTCCAACCTTTCATTGTCTTTTTCCCCCCTCTCCTCTTCCTGCTCTTATTTTTAACAGCAGGAACGAATTTCATATACACCTCCCGAGAGCCTGGTGCAGAGTTACACCTCCTCGACTCCACTTCATGTTCCAGTGCCTGGAGCGCTCAGGATGGAGGAAGACTCGATCCACCTGCCAGCGCACCTGCGTGAGTGTTTGCCTGTGAGGCCACGGTCGGGTCATCGCTGGGAAGGGGAAGGACTGACAGACTGCTGGAGCCATGGGAAGGAGAAGCAGGCAGAGGACACCAAGCCAGAGAGGGATTGAGATGGTTTTCACATGACTCTGTTATGTTGTTCTAGAATTTTTGGCCCATGCCCTAAAATGAATTTGAAAAGTTTGAGATTTCTGTCCCTTTTTTCTTGATGTGCCATCTCTGATAGTGGGAAAAGAAAAGTCTGGAAATACGGCTGAGTTTACTCGGACTGCTGGGAAGCCAGATGATTTTTTCTTTTGCAGAGTCCGTCTGCATTCCTTAATTTGCACTTCCTGCCCTTTAGTGGTCTTTGGTCTAAAATGTGACTCAGTTTCTTATTCAGACTCATGCTGCTTTATTATTAAGCTCTATGCTCTTCCGTTCTTTATAGACCTGCCTCCTCTCTTTTGCCATCCTGGTGACTTTTCTTTCCTTCCTTTTATTTACTAACATACATCTTTTCTCCTGTGCCCTCTTCTCTGCCCCTTTCTTGCTTGGGTTTACCTGTTCACTGCCGCACCGTGTTTATAGTATTCCACTTGCTCTCCCAAATCATCTCTACCGCCTGCATCCACCACTTTCCATCTGAATCCCTACCTGCAGCTTGGCAGCAACGGTTCCCACACCTGGGCGGCTGGTGCTGCTCTCCCAACACTGATACCTGCCATTTTCTTTTCTGTCTCTGTCGTGTGCTGCCATCCAGCCCAGGTGATAAAATGCGACTTGGTGGTGAAAGTAAACCACTTGATTCTCATCCTGGTCACAGTGTCCAAGAAGTGCCTGGTTCTATGACGTGAATGTTACTCAAGTTGGGGAGGACCCTGGTGTCATCCTAGTCCTTCTCTCATTGATTCCCTGTGATTGAAGTATTTGAAGTCATGCGTGCTGTCTCTTTTTGGCATAGCAGTGGTCTACAGGTTAGGCTCATCTTATCCAAAAAGTAGAGAACGCTAGGACACAGGGTGCAGGGTACTTGGGGAAGATTACTAACTTGTCCCTTCTCCCCCAAATGGAAGTTTTACAGTTGCTGGAAGTTTTACAGGGACTTGGAGACAAATCCTCCAGCCTCCTGTGTTCATTAGTATCTAAAGAGTTCCTGCCTACTACAGTTGAGACACTCCTGCTTCACATGGGCAGGGAGATAAAGCACACAGCCCCACTCTACCATCTTCTCTTCTGCAGTGGACATTTAAGTAAAGGTTGGGACATACAGGACATTATTGACTGAGGGTACTGTTATCCTTAGTAAACTGGTGTGTGATGGTACCACTGGAGCGTATGGAACGGGAGGGAGGGAGGAAGCAGGTAGGTAATAAGTTTCCCTCCAGACAGTGTCCTGTGACCACTATATTTACTTGAGGAATATTCACTTCAGGGTGGAACATATCCAAGGCACGCAACCACAGCACTCCCACTGCCTGTGTCCATTCATTTGCTGTTTCCTCTCATAGTTACTGATTGCCTGCAGTCCGCCAGCCATTCCTATGGGTTTTTGGAGTGCAAAGATGAAGAAAGCAGACAAAACTCTGCTTTTCTAGAACATAAATTCTAGTACAGAGAAAAAAAAGTGCATACTTGTTCCAAAATAGGCAGAGGTTTCTTTCACAATTTTTTTTATTCCTGTAAATACAGATCTTTAGGGAGACCCTAGTCTCCTGGTTTGCCTTTGGATACCCGTGACAAACATAAGCTCTTTGACTGCAAAACTAGCTCTCCCTAAAAACTCATCGTGGTAAAACAAACAAGCAAATGAACAAACATACCAAACTGGTAGCTGGGAAATCTGACTTCATAGCTCCTTCTGCTATCCAGTGGGGAGCCAGTCCTTTAACTCAGTTTTCCTCCTTGTAATACTGCATCAGGAGAGAAGAATGTTTAGCAGCCTTCCTAACTTTAGAATATTACAGCTCTCATCTGAGACATCCATCTTATTTAGAACTATTTCTTTCACTCCATCACTTAATTTCTTCTTGAGTAGATAGTTTCCTTATGATGCCAGCTCTATACTGCATCCCAGCATCTGACTAGATCCTATCATGCTCTTAGTACCCAGTCTTTAAGAGCCAGTAACTATTGTGGGAATGTACTGGGCATTGTACAAAGTCATGCAGATATAACTTTTTTTGTTGTTGTTCTTACAACAGTATCTGTAAGGTGATTTCTTTATCTCCATGTTATATATAAGGTTTAGAGAATTTGAGAAATTCTTTAAGATTGGTCAAAGACCTGGTAAGAGATAAAGGCATGATTTTAAACTCAGTTCTGTCTGATGTCACAGCCTAGGCTCTTTTCCATATAATTGTGTTTAATAAATATTGTTTTGGATGGATGGATGAATGCAGGTATGATACTTGGCAAGTATTCATTGATGAGTCCATAGCGTTGGTTTGTGGCAGGAATTCATTCTGTGGTTGTATGTTTGGTCCATTGCTGAATAACTCGTTTGTCAGTCTTCCGTGGTTGGGTGGGTGGATGGTTGGATCTGCACAAGGTAATTATCAAGTGTGAAGCTGTAAGCATGTTTCTGGGACATCATGAGTAATCAAATGATGGATGTGGTTCAGGAAAATAGTTTTTCCTGAATGTCTACTTTGTAGCGGCTTGAGATGCCTCTCCTCAGTGATCTGCATGAGCCCTGTTGGGACACCACTGGTCCTGACATCTGGAATGAATCCTCTGAAAGTGGAGGTTCCCAGGCTCTTGCTGTTTGCCCTCAGCTGGGGCTTTCCGAAGGGGCCCAGCTGCCCTCCTCCCTTCCCCGTTCCAGGACATGGCCACTTATCATGCTGTTTGAGAGGAGCATAGACGGTCGTGGCTAAGCTGTGACCACTTGAAGATGTATCCCAGCTGAGTTTCCAAACCTAAAAGAAAATAAATATTCTAACAAGGGAATTGGATTATTGCTGTTTTAATCTGGGATTCCAGACAATTCCCAAAGGAATGCTCATGGAAAGTACGGGGAAGAATCTGAAAACCAAGACAGCAAGCAGGACTTTTATGGTATTACTAGATTGAAAGCACTTTAAGATGGTTGTTTTAAAGAGATACTCAACAGACTGATACCATACTGCTCCAAGTGGCTTCTTTTCCTCATTTATCACTGATCTCTAGATAAAGCCTCTCTCTACCTCTTTCTTCTTTCATTCTTAGCTCAGAATGTAGCCTTGGAAGGGGAAACAACAGGGATCATTATAGTTAAGAGTTTCATGTAGAAAGTTTCTCACCATTTTGCTCTGGGAACAGAGGGCTAAGTCTAAATTGAAGACACAGCGTAACAAATTAACAAGTCACTGAAAAGTAGAAGATGATGCTTTTCCTTTTTTTTTTTTTTTTTTTTTTTGCCTGTGATAAGAGCAAAGTGATAAAAAGAGAGAGCAATAGTGTTAAGTGGTCCTGGAGAGGTAGGTGAAATCTGGTCCTAGGAAAGAAAAAGAGCCAAGGGAAGAAGGGTCTGGCCCTCAGCCCAGTCTCCCTCACTGCCAAAGCTCAGAGGACGGTGCCCTTCCACACTCCTGCAGCAGCAGAGCTCCCCCGTTCTCCAGGACAGAAACACAACCATGTTTATGGAGAGCATAGAAAGGGCAGAGTTCTTTCTTCTTCCATAAACAATACTGATTTTTGTACTTAAGCTTGGGGCAAGAAGAGCTGAAGTGCAATGTTTATAGCAGGCTGGTGAAGAAAAATGTTCCATTCTTTAAAGGGAACATTGACCTTCTGTTGTGGCTGGAGAAAACCTGAAGGACCAAGGCCCCCACAGGTGCTCCATCAAGGTCATTCTTGAGCTCCTCAGCAGAGCAGGGCCTTTGCTCATTGCCAGGAGAAGGAATGGCCTTTCCCGGTTCTCATCAAGGCCTCTGCGTGCGAGGCAGGTACTTGCGATGTGTCTACCCAGAGGCACTCTTTTGAAACTCAAGGGGAGTGAGTCCTGAAGGGAGTAACAGAAGGCTTGTCACAGTGTCAACCCACTCACGTGACCAGGTACCCGAGAAAGTTTATATTGGCTCATGGCTTCGCAGGTTTCAGTTCATGGTTGCTTGTCCCGGTTATCTTTGAGCCGTGGTGAGGCACCACACCATGGCAGAAGCAGATAACAGAGGAAATTTCACACCTTGGGGTAGCCAGAAAGTAAAAAACGAGTGAGGAAGGGGATAGGGACTTGTTTTGTTTTTTTTAGTATTGGGGATGGAACTCAGTGGCACTCTATCACTGAGCTACATTCCCTTGGCCATTTGAAATTTTATTTTGAGACAGAGTCTCATTATGTTGCCCAGGCTGGCCATGAATTTGGCAGTCTGCCTGCCTCAGCCTCCTGAATAGCTGGGATTCCAGATATATTCCACCATGCCTGATTAGGGTAAGTCTCTAATGACCTAACTGTGAAGCTCCCTAAAGACCCTACATACTGAAGGCCTCTCCTCCTTACAGCACCACAGGCTGGTGACCAAGTAAGCTTTCAACACAGAGGCCTCTGGGAGACATTGAAGATCCCAGTGCTCACGGACTCATGGTACATTCATGGGAGTCCCGATAAACACTGTGCCTCAAATAATGATGTCCAGGCTAGACCGTACAATAACAATGTAAATGTGTTTCAGATGCACAAGACAGAATTTAAATGAAATCTTTTCTTTATTTTAAATTTCTTTTGAACGTTGTCACCTCACGTTTGGTTGATTTGGCCACATCTAATAATGGATTGAACTTTCCCCCTGCCGTGTCCACTTGGCCTGCTAAAAATCCCTGTGAGTTGATGGTTAGAAATCAGAAAGTAGGACTCATTCATCTTGTGTCATAGGCTTACAGTTTATGATGTTGCAGGTTAATAAACAGCCGTAAGAGCCAGAGCTGAGATGCCAGAAATAGTCCCTTTCCTTTTCCTTGTGAATCTTTCAGACTCCTCCTGCTTGTGTGTGTTTAATGATTTAATTTAATGTCTTCCTTTGGAAACGTTACCTTCCTGCTCCCTTACTGGGCTGTTTTGCGTTCTCGGCAGAGTAACTGAGTTATAGGCAGTCGTGTGACAAGAAGAGCTCTGTTCTCACCTGCACAGCAATGAGGATGCAGAGCCTCCTAACTAACGGGTGGGAACCTCAATTTCATGTACTTTCAGGTTGAGGGACAGTGATAACTAAATATATAGGCATAGTTAATATTTTATATTGTAGAAATAGCAGTGCACATTCAGACATAGTATCTCATTTAATAGCTTAGCAGTCCTTGAAGCAGGTGCCATTGATTCTCTTTTATTGATGAGGTGATGGTGGCCCATACAAGTCACCTTTATTGTCCTGGTTCACAGCACGTGAAGGCTCTGAAGTGATTTCTATTTCAGAAGTCACCTTCTAGCTTTTAGGAGAATGACATAGGTGAACTGTTGGGAATGAGAGAGGCCAGGGCTGCTGCCTGCCATGGCAGGTGTGGCCCTGCAGAAGCAGATGCTACTTGGCCAGTAATATGTACTCAATCCCACCCCCTTTCTTTCATACTGGGGGTTGAATTAGGACCTCACACTGAGATTCTTTTCTGCCCCCAATTTATTTTATTTCACTGTTTCCCAAGCTAGGCTTGAATTTGAACTCCTCCTGCCGCAGCCTCCAAGAGAGTTGAGATTACAAATGTTTACCACCTTGTCTGGCTCTTCTTTAAGACCTTCTGGTGAATTTGGGTTAAATTTCAGTTTACCTTTACAACCAAAATGACAAGGTCTTAAAGGAAAGTGGGGTTCAACCAAACACTACACCAGGGATCCATCGCCTCCTGGCAGCAGGGACCCACTGCCTTTTCAAGTTTCCAGATCCGAAAGCATGGCTGTAGGATGGACGTGGGTCTCATGGACTTCAAAGGGCTTGAATTACAGGGCTACCTCTTTCTATGAGAACAATGAATCCACCTCTCTAAGACTCAGGTTTCTGATAGTACCTGCTTATGGATAGCAGAGCTAGTGTAAAGGTAATTTAGGAAGTGCCTCCCCCATTGTCAGTGGCTAAGCAAAGTGTTCATGTCCCTGTTTGTCTATTTCATGGAAGAAAAGACCTGGAGTTCTTCCTACATAGTATTGAGGCTGATTTTCCTGAGACAATACAACAGGCTTTACCTTTTCCCTCTTGCCAGTGACTTGGGAGCTTTTTCTGCCATAGGGCCCTCTACCCTCTCCTCTGCCCCTCACCCTGGAACTTTTTCCTCACAGTCTTGCCAACATCTGTCAGTCTCTTTCTTGGCCTTTCTCGTTCTTTGCCTAAAACTCATCCAATCCTCCCCTGTCCTTTGCCGTTATCAGTGTTCCAAAAATGGCCTCTGCTCACACAGCTGCCTGTGACGTGCAGTGACATCACCCGCAGAGGTGAGGCAAGGACATGGGGAGGGAATTTAATTCTCAGTGTGTGTCTTAACAAAGCAGTAATCACTTCTACCAAACTTCACCCGCGGCTGGCATTTCATATTTTATACCCCCTTAAGCTTCTATGGGCGCCTTTCCTTTTTGCATTTAAATGCTTGTGAAGACTTTCTATTTTCCCCCCCGCAGCACATGGGCTATACAAGGGTCCTGGTTAGTGGCTTTTAAGAGCTTGAAGAGAAAAAAATAGCCCCCAGCAGCACAGCCAGGATGCTTTGGAAGGGAAATTTCCTTTTTGGGTTTGCTGTCTGAAAGAATTTCCGATGCAGGCAGACGTTAATTCCTAGCTCTATGCTTCCTGATAAGGAAGCAGCTTCAATAAATGCAGCTATTTTTAGGTGTCTTTTTTTTTTTTTAAATATATAACCAGAGGTTTATTGACCTTTTCTTTCACTTCACATTTTGTGCAGGGAGCACTGTGTACATTTAAGGCAGTTCCTCCAGCTTAAGCCCTGACAGAGTAGCTCTGGGGGGGACGTGGGGAGGGCCGAAAGGCTGAAGGGTGGCCCAGCCACCTTTTCCATGTCCTGAGTTCTCAGCTGCCTTGGCATTCTGATCCAGGCATTCAGAAGTTATTGGCAGTTTGTCCTTACATGGTGGGATGAGTTAGATGTGTAAGCCCAGAGACCCCAGCTCACTGGAAGTCTGAGACAGCTGTTGCAAAATAAGACAATGAGAAGCAGTTCATGTGATAAGTAATGACTTGACAACAATGGGAAATAAGAAATCTTATTTCCATTTCTTCTTTCTCCTTTCTATTGTCACCCACCAGAGCTTCCTCATGCCACATAGGGTTCTGCAGATGCAAGGTCCTATCCATGTGTTCACTCCATGGGCAGCCTCACATTTATCGGTGTAAAACTTCCTGGCAGGTTCCATAAAGATTCAGCTTGTACTGTGGTTTCCTGAGTTCCTTCCCCACCTCCTCTTCATTCTCACAAAGCCTCGTTTGAGCTGAGAATATACAAATATGATAAAATTTCCATTCTCAAAGAGCAGATATTTTCTCCTATTTTCTTCATGGATGAGTTATACCTCATCTGTAACTCACACTGTTGGATTTTCTGGCAGGAATGACTTTGACAGCTTTATCCTTAAGCTTTTCCAGAAGTAAATTTTTGCAGAGTCCCTCAGATGTTACTGATTTTATTGTTGCTGTAGATGGTTTCTCAGTTGCCTGTGCCAGGTATGAGTGTCTGGGGTTCTTTCTCTGATCTCTTCTGAAATAAGGTTTGAGAGCTTTAAACTGGTTTTGGTTCTGGCCACATGCCCAATGTAGATGCCCAAGTATAATTAGTCACCCTGGTCTGCTATTTCCTGCTTCCATCTTGGGTGGGTGGACTAAGTCCCATTCTTTTGAAATAGATCTATTTCTGCTTCTTCTGCATAAATACTATAACCCTCAAATAGGGCTTTAAGATTCTGGAAAGATAGATAGATAGAGTATAAAGAGCTTTGGAATGCAGGAGATGAAGATTGGATGCTGGGAAGGAAAAGTTACCTGATGCAAGCCTGTGCAAAGAATACTTGATTTCCCTACTGCAGTGGGAAACTCTCAGCTTTTGGGGTGAGGGTGTTAAAAAATGGTTCACTGAAGAGCATGAGAATTTCTAAGGAAAGATCTAACAATGACTCTTTCTTGTTTCTAGAACAAGTGGTACAGCGTGTTGAATACTGACATGTTTAGAAAAACTAAAGAGATAACAGGTAATTTATGTAACTCCTATTTATTTAGTATTGGGAATCAAACTCAGGACTTTTTGCACTTGCCAGGCAGATACTGCACCACTGAGTTATAAGCCCGGCTCTGTAACTCCAATTTAGAAGTAACAGTGTTAAGGTAAAATTAGCCATTTGTTTTCCAGGAGTAGCGTACCTTGGCCAATAAGGTATAGTTTTTGGTATCATACCCCAAATGTCAGCTTCTAAGAACTGTGCTTTTTCTTAGCACCATTCTAAGGCCAATTGTTTAAGATCATACTGCTACTCACAATGATACGTGGTAACTAATAGCAGTCACTACTATGTATAGAACACTATCTGTATATCAGTAACTTCCTTTAAATTATTCTGAATAATTGCAAACACAGCAAAGTACACATACTGTATTTTATACCTGAGGTCTGGAAGTGGTACACAACTTCCTAAGGCCACATAAAGCGAAATTGCAAGAGCCATGCTTGAATCCACTTGTCATTCCAAAACCTAGACTTCCTACACCAGCCCCACCAACTTCGTCATATTGCTTAGTAAAAGTGTCAGGAACTGATAAAAGTTGCTTCATTCTAATTGTTGCTTAGAAAGAAAAAAATACGTAAACTACTGATGAGAAGGCCCAAAGGGATGAAATCAGAGATACAAACTAAACTATCTTTTGAATTTAGAGGAAGATAAATTTTCAAATCTAATCCTGTGCCCATACTATCTCTCATGTATTTTCAACTGCCTGTATAAATTCTGGGATGTTAGAAACAAAGAAAGAGGATCCTATCCAATTGTACCCAGTTTTCCATCTGTTTGAAAGTGATGGTCTACTTCATAGACTATTAATAGGCAGTAGTAGAGATGATGTGCTTGCATGTGGATTATATTATTGAGTTTACTTATTAAAACACCAAAGTTTCCATTAATCTATGTTAGGCCATCATGCTGCAGAAAAATTGCCTAATATTCTTTCCCCATGTGGCATGTGTATCATGTTGTTTACAACAGGTAACAGAGCAAAGAGTCTGCTCTGCTCTGCTCTGCCCTAGTTCTCTCGGCTTCAGCCCCACGTGGCTGCTACTTGGGTAAACCTCCTATAGTTTATTCCCTCTGGGCAGTAGTTTCCTTATCTATAAAAGGAAGTAGCCTGAGGTTATGATTCCTGAGGTTCTTCCCAACTCAAATATTCTATATTGTTCTCTGAGTCCGGAAGAGAAATGCAAGAGATGTCAACAGTGAAGCCTTGTCTATAAATGGCCTTATTATGATCATTTACTTGATTTCCAGTAGTCAACATCCACTCTTAGTGCAGAAAGTGGTAGTTTGATGATACAGGAGATTCTTTTCTATGTTAGCTGTAATTATTTGACTAGGATACCCCTTGCAAGGGAATGTGGAAACCCAGTACCTGACTCTGTTGATACTTCCTTGTGTTGCCTGTAACTGAGGTATAGTTAATGCTTTTGTAGTAATGGGAACTGGTGCAAACTCCTAGCCTTGCAGGGCTTGTAAAACTGCCTCTGCCATATTTGCTGAATGCTCGTTCCCAGGACCTCACAGCCCAGTGTCAGGCCTGAGTCCCTGCTTGGCCCTCATCCCTCGTTCTCAAAGACCCCTTTTGGCCCAAGATTTGTGATGTGAGTTGGCCCTTTGCCCAGTGCATTGCACACAGGTGTGGCTTCTGGTAACTACTTGACCCCAACCGTGTGATTTGTGGGAATCCCCTCCACTACCCAAGGCATGTTTGCTTTTCCTGTAACCTGTAACAATTGCAGTCTACATTTGCCTCCCTTTCTCGATGGTTTCCACTGTGTTTGGGGCTTTGCAGAGCTAGCTGATCTGCATAGATAGGCCCCACAATCCTCCTTTAGGCAACCCTATAGCACACGAACAATTACTTCTGCATTAATTAATTATGGGAGGGGAAAAGCACAGTTGGCAAGGGAATGAAGGCTTTCAGCTTCTAAAGTGAAGGCTTTGATGCAGAGCGTTAAAGTACATTTCCCTCCGCCTTGGCCAGCAGAGAGAATCTGTGACACTTATGCCATCCCCTGGGCTGGAAAACTCACACCCAAGGAGCTATTTCTAAATGGAGGTCCCGAATCAGTTACTCAAATCATCTACTCGTTGACACACAGTGTGAAAAGAGGATGTTAAGATTGGGCAAAAAGGAATTGCCCCAAGCTGCAACAATTTGTGAACAAAACTGATGAAGAGTTTTGTTCCCTTCTGTTGCTCTTGAGTCACCAACATCAGGAATTCTTCATCGAGAAACAAATATGACTGATTTGATGCCAGTCCTCCTGAGGAAACAGAGCCAGCCTTCCCCCTTCCTGCTGTTTATACCTGACCTCAGGAAGGAGCCCCAGGGCAGTGCAAGTTCACAAACCTGTTATTCTCATGGATTGGAAGCTGAGTCTGTCCTTTTAGGCAGTTTCTTACTGAGGTTAACAGAGTGGTAAGAAAACTTTCTTTTTTTCATTCTGATTCCTTCTACAGCATTGTTCTTGAAGTACTAAACTCTCACACTTTGCTCCTGTCACTCATGAGGTAATGGTCAAGCCACCCTACACAATCCCCTTCCTGGACACATAGTCTCTGGACACATAAGGACACTTTGTTTCCTTATTTACGACTCAGTCAGGTATTCTGTGCTGGGCTTTCACTGGCCTTAAAACTCAGTCATAATTCAAAAATCATCCATCTATGTGGGGCTTTATTTAAAGATCTTTTAGGAACACAGAAGTCAAACTCCCCTAAGAGAGATTTTCCTCACTTGAGTCTCAAGAATGCCTTTTTAAACTGAACTTTAATGTCCTGAGCAAATGCTGAGAGGAACATCAGAGACCCGTAAAAACCTAAATGCATTTTTTAATCAAATGTATTTTTGGACCTTATAAGGAAAGAGAATTTTTTTCTTTTAACTTTCAGAGAATAGTTTTAGTTCAGATGAATCCATGTGTTTATGTATGCACACACGTGTGCAAAATTATCCAGATATCTGCTTCATAAAACACAACTTGTAGGATAATTCCTACCATCTACATGATCCAAAGAAAGAACTGGGAAAGTACAGCAGGATATTGTCACACTGGCATCATGTGTACTGCGGTGGAGCTACTGTCTGGTACTGTTTGCTGAAGTATTGAGATTTCAGAAAGAGCAAAGACAGAGTTAGAAGTAAACTCCATAATTTTGCTTAGGGCTTATTATGGTTGGGATCCAAAATGTTCCCCCAAAACCTCATGCTGAGGTTTGGTGTCAACTGATGGAATTTGAGGAACAAAATCAACTTCATCATGTGGATTAATTGATTCACGAGTTCTTAAGTCAATGGGCTTATTGGAGGTGAGGCCTAATTTGGTGAGAATTTTGATTGGGATGCCTTTAAAGAGTTTATCTTGTCCATGACCCCTTCGTTTCTGGCTCTTTTCTCGTTCTCTGCTTGTTGGGTGTCATGAGGTGAGCTGGTTTCTTCCGCCACTCCCTTCTGCCTTGATGGTTTTACCTCACCACAGGCCTAAAGATAATGGACTTAGCTGACCATGGACTGATGCCTTTGAACCTGTAAGTCAAAATAAATCTTTCTTTATGTTGTTTCTCTTGGTCACAACAATGAAGAGCTGACTAATGGATTTCTCCATGGAGGAGAGAAACATAAGACTAAATGGAAAATCCAAGACCCTTGATTTAGACAAAGCATTAGAATCCAAATCTCAGAGGTGGAGAGAAGCAGTTGGCTACTTAACATTCACAGCTGTTGGTCTCCAGATATTGCCAGCACCAATCTTGGCAAGCATTGTCAAGCACATTATGGGTCTGAGAATATGCAAGTCATATGTGTTTCTTTGAAAGGAGCAATAAATCTGAATCCTTAGGCCTTTCAACCATTCTGATAAAGTGACTTTACCTCGTAGACATATAAGGGACATGTTAATCCAAGTTTAGGTAGAAGTGATCAGGAAAATTCTGGCCTTATGGACCTATAAGGAGCCACCAGAGCAAGGTGTCTTATATGTGTATGACAAGTACTAATACGTGGAATTTGGAGGAAAGATTCTTTATAATTCATGTAGAATAATAACTTTCACTTAATGAGTGCTTACAGTAGGCAATTTTCATGTGTATTGTATGATTTAATCCTCCCAACAGTCCTGTGAACTGAATTTTATTATCCTCACTTTACTGATGAAAAAGTCAGATTTAAAAGGGTGAAGAAACTTGGCAAAAGGCACAGAACTCCCAGGCAGTCATGCAGTCTGTTGGACCTTTCCCACTCTACTCATTTCCCCTACTCTCAAGGACATGAAAAATACTGTTGGGTCCCCCTGTGAGATCTAGCTGTGGTTAAAACTTCATAAATTATAGAAAAACAAGATAACTCACCATAGTAAAAGTTTAAAGCCATCCCACAAATAATATCTATCACACCTAGAATTTCATATTCTCAGATTTTAGCCAGCTAGCTCGTTCTTGCTAGTTCTTTAACTGTGGCTCCATTGCTTAGTAATAAGATCCTATCAGGCATCTAATGCAGTCTTAACTGCAGGATGAAAATCCAGGCCGGTGGAAGTCCTCATGTACCTGTGTCTTTCTCTGACCATGGCTTAATGTACCGCTTGAAGTTCAGTATCATTGCCTCTTTTTGTGCCTGACGTTTTTTCTGTGTTGTTTCCTTTCTACAATTTTTTTTTTTAAATGAAATGATTTGAAATGGGAAGTTAAGAACTTAAATGCAAGTCTGGCAGCTTCTTTGCAAAAAGCTTCATAAAATACTGTTATGTTATTCACTTTAGCACAGCTGCTCTGGGCTCTCACCACTTAGCCATTCACAATATGTCTGAGAGATTAATTTTTATAAGACTGTGGTTTGAGATGGTTTCCCCCTCCATGTTTTACTTAAAATCCTCACCTGGAAATTCAGGTTGAAAAAATCCCACCACTGTACAGAAAAGGGGGTTTGCTTGAGGAACTTGAATTTTCCATTTTGTGTTCTTGGGCTC